AATCAATTAATTAGAATTCCCACAGTTCTTCCCTTTCAATTCAAAATTTCCTATTTAGCTCAGTTTTTTTTCAATTCCGAATGCTGCACCTCTGACGGACCTATTAAGCTCAGTTTCCTTTCAACTCAAAAGGCTGCATCTCTGACGTATCTTTTATTTGGCTCAGTTTCCTTTCAATTCACAAAACTGCATCTCTGATGAATCAATTTAGTTCAGTTTCTTTTCAAAAGTCTGCATCCCTGACGGATAATTATGCTCAGTTTCCTTTAATTAAAAAATATCACCATTTGGAATAAACAGGCTATTTTCATGCTTTCCTATACGCTGCGTTTCAAAACATTTAAATAGGCTGACGAATCAATTTTGCTCAGTTTCCTTTTAATGGCTGCATCTCTGACAAATCTATAAAACTCAGTTTTCTTTCAATTCAAAAAGCAATGGATAGTTCATTTCCCAGTGACCATGCGGGCGAAGCCGCGGGTAACAGCTAGTTAAATATAATAAAAAATAATTTGTTATTTAGAATTTTATAATAGCTAAGTTATTTAAGAATATTTTGACTGCGATAATTAATGTATTAATAGCTCATGTATCTATCTACACCTTAAAGCTAGACTGATATTTTCTTCTAAGATTAAAACTAAAAATGGTAATTTTATACTACCGCGCTCACCTCGTTTCTTTGCTCTAGAAAATCTAAAAGTTATCCGATTTCGATGATTTTTTAAATCATCATTATTACGGCGGATTTATGATTTTTTTTTAAATGTTCATGAATTTTTTTTTTAAATAATCGAATGAAGTTGTTATAATTTTTCATAATCTACACAAAAAAACAACATTTAAAAATTTTAAGAAATGTTGTTTGTAATTTTTTATTTTGGTTTTTATTGAGTGTAAGATCCAGCGATGCGAGCTCGGGACTTAGGGCATCCCGACTCGGACTGGTTAGGATAGAAGGAGATAGCGGGGTGGAATGGGCGAGCGAGCGAATATACCCCGCCATCTCCTTCGTGGTTATTTTTTTATAAACTACTCAGAAGTAGTCGACCGAGCTTCCCTCGACTGGGCTACGGGAGAGAGTTGGGGGAGAGAAGCGCCACGCCACTCAACATCGCTTCGCGGGACTCCTACTTCTGAGTGGTTTATAAAAAACTAACCACGAAGGAGGTCTCCTTCTAACCTAACCTGTCCGAGTTGGAATGCCCTAAGTACTCAGCTCGCGTCGCTAAAAAATTAATAACTAAACATTATTATGTGATTTTTTAAATTTTTTTAAATAAGCGTTTTATAGCGATTAAGATATAGCAATTACTGTCAAAGATTGCATATTTTTTTTATTTTATTACAAGATTTTTCGAGGATAATATAAATTATTGATCTATTTTTTAATATCCATAATACATAGTTAATTCTTTTCATTTTGGTCCTTTCCGTAAAAACAAGATTAAAAAAAACATCGAAATCGGATGATTTTTCGATCTTCTAGAGCGTTAATGATAACATTTAAATTCAAAACTTAAAGTGAGATAAAAAATTTAGAAACAAAAATTTTTCCATGCCTTTTTTTAAATATTTTTTTTGTGATGGTTAACAAAAAATACAAACTTCGTTTAACGCTTTGCAAAAAAAAGTTATGAATGATTATATTCGAAGAAGTGCGTTTATGATCACATTTAAAGTCATAAAACTAAATGAAATCTTTAGGTGAGATATTTTCCATAAATCCGCCGTAAAGATGAAGATTTAAAAAAAAACTCATCGTAATTGGATCATTTTTCAATTTTCTAGAGCCAAAAAACGAGGTGACGCCTCGTATAAAATTACCCCAAAAATACATAATACGTATGTGATATAGCAGTGATACATACTAAATATACCTTTTTATTTCAATTCTACCTACTAAGTAGGGATGATGACCTGAGATCGATTAATCGAAGAATCGATTTTTTGTGCCAAAAAGATCGAACTTATATCGATATATAGTACTGAATCGATATTTCATCCTAGAAAATCGAGATCGAATGTTTTCTGTTTTTATAAGAACTGTAAAGTGATTTACAGTTAGTTTAATGTTCCCAAATTCGTAAAGAATAACAGTTTTTATATTCAAAAATTCGCAAAACTGCTGTTTGTTCTTTTTCTTTCGTCTCTTCTTAGTGGATTTAAAAAAAAAACAAATAAATTTGTAATCTGTACTTTCTTGTATATTTTGATATTGTGAACATAAAGTCTGAAATCAAATCGGAAAAAGATCGATTTTTGCGAAATCGATATTTTAGACCTCGATTTTTTTAATCTACTCGAATCGATTTAAAAATCGGCCATTTTTTCGGCAATTTTTCGGAAATCACCGCCATCCCTAGTCCCTACTACTGTTTAATACCACAAAAATGTAATTTTAGGTATCCCCCAACCCCCAACCAAAAACAACAACCAACAACCAAAGAGTTGGATTGAAAAAGAAATCCATTATAAAGTTGTTTCGTCCTACTATAATGCTAACTCGAGTAATGATTTTTCCGAGTTGGCAGATCTATAAACCCAGACCCTCCTCTTCAATTTAGTTCTTTATTCTTTTATATTGATTTATTATTCATTAATTTCGTTTGTAATGTAATAACTGTGAATTTAGATGTACCTATTCTTACTGTACGTCTATATTCACAGTCATTACCGCCTTTTAAACCCAAATCGAACATACTAGAATCGATTATCGATAGAATGGAGGATTAATAGATCGATTGCCGATTAATCGCGACCTAAATAAACAAAATTCAATTCACAGGACAATATCTAACAAGAAGTTGGACTATTAATACTACATTTTTATACACATAATTACAGATGACCACTGCCAAAAACCAGGGCTCGAGATACTTTCAAGTATTTTCTTTCTACATCGAAAATTGATCCGTAAGATCATCATATATATATAAATATATAAAAAAAATATATATATATATATATATAAGGAGCGCAATTGCATATGCTAAAATAAAAAACTTTCATGCCGTGTCCGAAGAAAAATACTCGCATAGAACATTGATCCGTAACTGTATACAAATAAAGAGCAAAATTGCGTTTACAAAAAATATACTTCCAAACCTTTAAAGTTCCAACTTTCAAGTCTTTTTGGAAGAAAAATACTCGCATGAAAAATTGATCCGTAAACATATACAAATAAAGAACACAATCTCGTTTACAAGAAAAAAAACTTCCAAACTTTTAAAGGTTCCAACTTTCAAGCCTTGTTGTACGAAATATACTTTCATTGGACATTGATCCGTAATTGTATACAAATAAATAGTACAATCGTGTTTATAAAGAAATAAATCCAATCTTTTAAAGTAAATATACCTTGATAGAACATTGATCCGTAACGTAATATATCATCAGTCGTCAGCTGACAGCGCGCGCAGTCGGTCAGAGGTTGATGAGTACACTAAAGTGTAATAGTTGTCAGATTGTGATAAATGAGGTGTTATGTTTTTGCCAAAATAAATTAGACGTCATGAACAATGTTCGTTTGGCACTGTTATGCAAGCAGTCCTTTGATGAGGAGGAGATTTACGAGGCAAAGTGTTTGCTGTTCGAGTCGATTCCGCAACGGCTGGTTAAACGGAAGAGTGAAGATCGGAAACAGAAAAATATAGATGACATTATCGGGGTATTAAGAAGTGCTGAGCCCAATGACATTCCTATATTTGTGGCAAAAGAGCTACATAAGTTGCCGCCCGTTACATTTGACCATGTCGACGCTACGCGTCTATTGAAGGATATTCTTTTGCTTCGGACTCAGGTACGTGACCTACAAGGGAAACAGGACGAATATATGACAAAAAAAGATTTTGAAAAATATGTTGATGACACAGAAAACAATCCGGATACATTGTATGGTAAAACGGGGAAAATGGAGCCTTGTGTGAATAACAGGAGGGGCGGTTTTTGCCTGCAAGATAGTTATGACTCAACAAGCGGGCCGATGGGGTTAATGACCGACCTAGGAAGTGATACACCGCCGAGCATTTATGCAAGAACGAGTTATATCATCAGCCGAAATCAAAAAAGTATATAATAATCTAAGTACGACCCATCTCTAATCCCTACTACTACAAAAGATAGGTATCCCACAACCCCACCAAAGAGTTAGATTGAAAAACAAATCCATTATAAAATTGTTTCATCCTACTATAATGCTAACTCGAGTAGTGATTTTTCCGAGTTGGCAGATCTATAAACCAAGACCCACCTCTTCAATTTAGTTCTTTTATATTGATTTGATTTATTATTCATTAATTATGTTTTCGTGTAATAGCAGTGAATTTAGATGTATCTATTCTTACTGTAACACTTTTTTATAAATTTGTGTAAATACAAATTTATAAAAAAGTTGTTTTGCCCTACTATGTCGCTAACTCGAGTATAGAGATGAAGCGAATATACTAGAACAGATCCAGGGACAAAGTATTTAACTACTACTACTACGACTAGGTTGCACCTATTCCAACTTTATTAAAATACTCGATCCATCTAGTCTCACTGTGTCTACGCGTCGTACTCGTATTTTGTTGCCGTAGACTGTAGTTACTGGGCGCTCAACTCGGGTCGTCTTTACCTAAATCATTAGTTAGCCAGTCATTTGAATTTGAACCAAATTTCCATGAACATAAAGGTAACGTGACGCGCACTCATGTTGTGTAATAATATACTCTGTCCTTTTTTAACTAGACTATTCCGCAGTCTTTCTATCTTTGTCTGTTATTACTCGAGACTCGAGACTAGTCGGGACTAGGGATATTCCGATACTAGTAAATACGAGTAGGTACTTGATACTTTTGATTCGATACCAAGTATTTATAGCATCGAATCAATCTTACGATACATACTCGGTATCGAAACAAAAGTACTTGGTATCAAATCGAATCAAAATAAACAATTAAAATAAAATTTTTTTTCGAACACATCAGTCAGGAAGGGCTATTCAAAAACTTAGAACCATGGTTGTCGGACAATTAAGTAACCCAAGTGAGTCAGAAGATGATGTCTCATCTATTGCACCACCTGAATATGATTTTTGGCAACATCATAAGGAATTAGCACATGGACATAAGAAGAAAAAGAAATCTCATCAGGGAGATGAAGTTTCTCTTTATTTATCAAATCCAGTATGTAGTGTATGTGCCTCCACCCTACTAGCATATGTTAATAAATGTACTTACTCTTAGGTTTAAGTGACAGTATAATTAAAGTCTTGAGTAGAGAAACACGTCTCCTATTCATTTACCAACCGTTCAACATTACATGGCGACCCTGCCAGGCGGTGCGCGGCGACAAGGCACGCGCACCGCCGCGGCTTGCACAAATAGTTAAAGAAACATGGAAAAACGAATATAAAACTAAAGGAACAATTTTCAACTATTGAATTGACACTACCGGATGTGACAAGTAAGCCGAAACGGAGACATAAGAAGAGGAGACAAAGTTATTATTTCTTTAAGGAGATATGCTAATAAAACCTATTAGAAAAAGAAGAAAAATGTTACGGAAAACAACGGGAACGATCAACTTCAGAAACAAATATTATGACAGCTTCAAATATTACATGAAGATTAAACGAATTAGATGGTGAGACCACAAATTTAAGAAAAATAGAAGAAACTTCCTGCAAGCCTTAACCGATAAGAAGATAGAAAAATTGAGCCGAAAATAACAAATTATGAGGTAACTTCGCACCTATGTGATTTTAATTCTATTTCAAACTTTATTTAACAATTTAAGATTGTTTTTTTTTGCTATTATGTTTTTAAACTTAGATATTAAATATTCTGTATTTTACATATAATTAAGTTGAAATTAGTTATCAGATTATTCAAAATATACTTTATTATCAAATATTTTAATACCTACGAAAAAAAAACAATTATAATACAGTATTAAAAATTAAGTTGAATTTTAAGCACTTATGTGGCACTTCTATTAAGGCGCCAGACCAGACTTTATATTCTCATTTATGAAGTTATAGTTTTGTATTATTTTTTTACTGTGTCCTGCCAAACAATTAATGAAATAATAAAATAATAGATTCCAATTTTACACACTTGATTTAAAATAACACTGTGATACATTTCGTTGATTTTTTTTCTCGAATCCAAATTTTAAAGGGTTAGAAACATTTCACTATCATTATAAGTTTTAATTTTTTTTAAAGGCATTAAATCTTAAATTTATATAATAACTTATGTAAAATATAAAAAACTTCCTTTTAAATGTTTGAATAAATTATTGTATCATTGTGTAAAGGTGATAACTCTAATAATGTGATTTTCAATTATTCTGTATACACGACATAATAAATAACATACTTTCAGTAATATTTTTCGATCTGTATAAAAGCGATATAGCTTTTAACGATGTAACCATGTGGACTTCTGAATAAATAAGAAATTAAAAATATTAGTTTAAGGTACATTTTTTTTACTCGCACTCATTTATATGAGTACTACTACTTATGTAGTAACAAATTGTACACGTTAAGTTGACATTAGGCACGATCATACGATGCGATTATTTTAACGTTTATTATCAATTATATTTTTCATATTTTCTGGCTAAAATAACACTTTTATTTCTTTTGAAAGACAAGAAACTAGGTAGGTAGGTAGGTAAATACTCGTATAACAAGAGTCAATCTTTACACAGTGAATATAAAAGGTCTGCTAACCATTTCTTACGAATGATACTGATGTTTCTAAAAATATGATATTATAAAATGTTATGCAATGAGCGTATCCTATAAAAAAAAACATGGTAACATAGATGATAAATTTAAACTGAACACAGCAACATGCAACACATTAACAGGTGTAGGATAAATCATAACAACATTGTAATAGCGATAAAAATAATAAGTATAGGAAAATAAATGAGTAAATGATAATAGTAGAGAATGAGTTGTTACAGAGATGAAAATAATAAATAAATAACAGTGTAAACAGGAATAAAGTAGTTAAGAGAATTTTTAATAATATTGGTTCAAAAAAAAAGTTAAACACCGACAAAGAAAATTTATTGATAAGCATTCTTATCAATAAATTTATCTCATTTGTACAAAAATTAGAAAGCATGTAATTGGTATGAGGAACGGAAGAATGTTCGAACGTGTAAATACGAATGATTTAGTTACTAAGTTTTGTCAATATTGGACTGATCACCCAAATATTGATGATACTTAAAAACTGTGCGACTTGAAATGTGTGAGAATGATGCAAGTTAGTATATAGAAGTGAGGCACGAAAGTATATAAATAAAGAACAAGGTAATGAAGAAATAAAGAAGGAATAAATATTTATGGCAATAATAAAAATATGACATTGACCAATAAGTAATGGAGAGATATGGGAACGTTCAACACTGGTATAGCGTATAGTCCTCGAGCAGGGTACGTTTCCGTGATTGGACGATGAAATCGGAGTAACGGGTACTAGGGAACAACGCCTTCAGTACAAGTGATGTAACTGAGTTTACTCATATTAGTACTGTTAGGGACCAGAGAAGTCTTAAATTTGTTACCCTTATTAATGGTACATTGAGGTCACATCCTTCGTTGGATCATGGTGCAAACTTAGTTTTCCTCTGTGACAATTGTTGGAATCCTTTTAATGACTTAAACGTAGACCTCAAGGTTGTGCGCACAACCCAAGGTACATTTTACCTTGATATAAAATAAAAATAAAATATGTACCAATAAAATGAAATGAATGTTACGAAAATGTAATATAATACCCAAATAAATGGGGGGCCCATATTTATAAAGTACCCGCGTGATAAATATCACGAAATAAAATATAAATGAAATGAAATAATACTCCGATTCCCGGTATCTAATAAGTAAATAAATATATAAGTGAATAGAGAGAAATAGAGCTAGCTAAAGGTAAAAAATATTAAGAAGAAAAAAAGAAAGTACGTACAAGAATTATGGAAAAAAGGCCTAATAATTGATGACAATACAGGATAATAAGGGGATCCCCGAGCAAATTAAAAAGTGTGATAAATGTATGATAATCTAATAGTGGATAGATGGTTATTTTGCATTTCTATATTAGGACTATTAACGCTACCCAAAATGCTACTAGCAAGTTGCACATATAACAGCTATAGGGTTCGATTCGCACAACTACACGTAAACAAATAAAAATATATCAACCCAATATGATAAGTACACTTTCGCGTAAATTTATATAAATTTACGAGATTTTTTCATATTTAGGCACATTGATTCGTATTTACAGTGATTCTACTTTAAATAATTTTTTTTCTGTCTCATGTTTTCTTATGTAAAATGTGTACAATTTTGAACTACATTTATATAAAGCTTATTATAATCAAGTCCAAAGGTTATCGATACACTATTATTGTAAATTGTATAATGTAATCGTTTTTTTTTTCTAAAAAAGAGACAACGAAAACGTAAAATTGTGTCACCTGCTTGAAATAAAATTGTCTTTTCCAATGTAAATAAATATTTTGTAAAAAAAAAACTTTAGCTGTGTACCTAACAGTGTATTCTCTTTTTATATAAATTTCTGTCCCAATTAAGATAAACGTATTTCTTAGAAGTAAAAGTAATATTTTATTATTAACAATGCAACTATTTTTAAATATCTGTTCCAAGTTTTAAGGTATATTTTACTTGCATTCATATTATAACTTATTATGGAAGTTACTTAATGTTAGGTATGAATCACCACACCTTGTGATCATAGTCCGATGTAATTGCAAACGTAGCCTTATACGTACCTACCTACTTAGAAATTTAAAACGTAGGTGTCACAAACCGCTTACGCGACTGGGATTGCAAGTTGTATTTTGATTCCCGTTATTGCTGATAGCGATGATATTTGCGTTGCATTACATTATGTTTTTGGTCTTTTCATATTTAAATGAAATGTAATATTATCGGTGTTATATTAATTAAACCTGCTAATCACCATTAATTTCTGAAAATATAGTAGAATATTAATGTCTAACCTATTTGTGTGGATCATGAAAGCAATAGTTAAACAAATATAAAGGTATAAATAAATTAAATATAAAGTATATACAATTATGAATACAAATGTGAATAAATATATATAAAGGTAGAGCAGGTACTGCTTAATATGAAATGTAATAGTTTATTTTCAGTTTTATATTGTTTGAACTTTTAAATCATAACTTCTAACTAGAACGTATAGTTAATGTAATAAATCTCGAGTGAAAATAAATGTAAAAAAAAATATTAATAAGTATATGGTATGATAGGTGGTATGTTCATGTTAACGTGCAGTTGTGACATTGATTAATATCAAAAATACGACAGGCTTAATGTCGTACGAAATAAAAATGTTAACGAAATAAAATCGCATGCGTATCACGGATTGACTTAATAATATGATTATGTATAACCATGGTATAATCTGATCATGATCATGAGATTATAATTTTTTTTTAAATGTAGTTAGTTTTTGATTTTATTTTGATATTATTTTGTTTAACTACGTTATTTTATTTTGTTTCTCTTTAAAGCAACCCATTTGCAGAATGGGATGACATGAAATTTGTTTTTCCTTGTCCGTACAAGTATGCACAGTAATATTTAATAGTTGTGGCAACGTCAGTTCCTAGCGAGTGCCTTTTTTCCAAAGCCGGTGCTACAATGTCTCACACAAGGAACAGATTGTCTCCGAAATACCTGAAACAGGTACTGTTTTTGGGCAATCTAGATTTAGATTTATTTAGATTTAGAGTTTTTTTTTGTTTAAACTTTAAACAAAAAACTCTTTGACATTAAGGCGCGGTTAGCTCAGAAAAGGTGGTTGGAAAAGCAGTGTATTTAAAAAAAATAAGACTACTTTAGAAATAAAAATACTGTGTAATAGTAGAGGTATTTAGAAAGAGTCGTTTGACGTTTATAATAAAAGATATTTTTTTCCTTGTCAATTTTGTTTTAATTATTGTCCTTCAAAGTTCATTGTTTTTACGTTAGTAAAAAAAATTGCTAAAAGTATCGATATCAGTAAGTATCGATACTTTAGGAGTATTTATATAAGTAGTATCGAAAAAAGATTTGAGTACTATCGAAATGAGTAGGTATCGATACTTTGATGGTATCGGAACATCCCTACTCGGGACTCGGAGTAGTTCAACCAAATACTAGAGCACAAGGCAGGCGCGTGTCTATTGTCTAATACGGTACGGACCACAGAGTACTTTTTTATATATAGGAAGTACGGACTCATGCGAATGTGATCTCGGTGAACGCTGTTTTCATGTTTCCATGACTACATAACAGTATTGGAAACGTAAACAATTTACGTTTCGATGACTATGTAATATATTTTGATGAATATAAATTATATACTTAAGGGGAAATATAACCTCAAATGACTTAGCAAGATCCTTCGTTATGCCCAAAGTATTGCAGCATTAATTTTGAAATAAATATATGGTAAAGTTGAGGATTAATGTTAAGGACTATGTTAGACGAAAACACGATTCCGTAAAATTTTCTCGATAGAAAAAAATCCAAAGTGACCTCCAAACTGAACAATAAACCGCTGTTATTCATAAAATACTTTAAATAAGACCATGAAACTTTGCATACTAACTGAACTAACTATAAAGCAGTGCTTAAGTTATTTACTTTTTTTTTTAAAATATCATTATTTTCAATGTAAAAAGAAATTACCTAAACTGTCGGCGTCTTGAAGCTTGATTCCGGTCAGCGTTGTTCTTGATACGGCAATTGCCGTAATATGCGGCATTCAGGCATCTTAGGCAACAAAAATACGGTATACGGCAGCTATTTGATTACCGTATTAAAATATACGGTAGTTGTCTAAAGTAAAAAAAATATTTCGTATAATGGAACACACCAACTTGTGAACCATGAAGGTTAGAGAACAGGAGAATGATCACTACGTACTAAAGCATAGCCCGCCTGTCCTTGAAAATTGTAGAATTTATAGCGACGCTGTCGCGGCGAAGTCGGTGAGTAGTGGCTGTGAAGCTAGCTGTTTATGAGTACAAGTAGATGAAGTTAGTTGAATAATGTACAAATTTTCTCCGCGGCATTGGTGAGAAAATTTTCATGCTCCGTAATTTTGTAATTTTTGACAAAACGAAATATTAAAAAATGGAGAAATATTTTATTGTGCGTGGATGTGCAAGTGGTTTAGCATCTGATCGGAAAAATAGACTGAAAGTGACTTTTATTGAACGAACTTATCGATCGCAGTGCCTCACTTACGGTGTCCATATTTCTGGGACATTATTTTCTACGGCGATCTTTCTCCTGTTCTCTAAACTTCAGAACCATGGAGTTCCGCATCGGTAACGGTAATTGTACAAAATTTCGAGTGCTAAACTAAATCTTCTAAAGTGATTCGTAAAATGAAAGATAAAAAACAGTACGCGATAGAATCAGAACTACTGGAAACTATTCAAAACCTATATGGTGAAGAATAAAATTAGTACAACTATAGTACACACTTATTTATTATGTAAACAACATGTATTTCACGTGCTTTTTTATTGTAACCTTCTAAACAAATATTTAGTACAATACGGCATTTTTCTTAATTTTCCCTAAAAATCCGGCAATTTTAGAGTTAGAATACGGCAACTCTAAATTTGTCAGGAACAATGCTGATTCCGGTCCAGTCGCCCCGTTAGATATCGCTTAGGCTTTTGAAGCGAGGAGTTGTGTCGCTTACGATCAGAATACGCATTACGCAACAGGACGACGTAAAATTAAAATGAGAAATAACCGTGATAAAAATAAGAAGCGACTGGGTTGGCGTTAAGAAACAGGCATAAATATGATAAACCTAATGAAATAAGTATCTAACGACCTATCTACTTACAGTAGTAGTGATTACAAACATGTCGGTACATAGCATACGACGCGCCGCGAAGTGGGGACGAAATTAGAATTTGAGCTGACTTACTTATATCCCCTTAATATAAGTAAATGTATCATGCATGCTTTCAGTAGTATAAAAATGCGTTCATTTACCCACATTTACTAATCTATATATTTTATAATCGTTCGTAAGGAGTAAACTTCAGTCGTGCGCCGGAGCTGACAAACTCACTTTTTATTTTTTGTTTTTCAGAACAATTCTTTTTTTTAATGTTATTTATAAGAATTATGCAAACAATATTCTAAAAAAATATTATAATTAGTCTCGTTACTATTAAGATTATATGAGAGATAAATGAAAATAATCCACTTTAAATTCTCCCTTCCGTCATTAGTATGAGCTGCATCAACTAATTATAGAATTATAGCAATAGTAAAAAAAACATAGCAGCTTAAAATCAATACATACAAAATCAATAGGTGAGTACACCCATTCTAGAGTTTTTCAAATAAATCAAAGATAAACATCTTTTAAAACAAATTTTACAAAATATGAAATAATTCTGTAAACGCGCCATCTACACGTACTTTGAAGTACTACTAAGTAGCATTTGAAGTAAATTATCTAATTTATTTCTCGTATAATCTTAATTCTCGTAATTTAGTTACGAGAATAATTATAATAATTTTGTAAAGTATGAAGGGAAGATGTATGAATTCATTATTGCACACGTTTCAGCAGTGCGCACGTAAAATATGGTACTTGAAACTATAGCGTATCCTATTCCAACAATACTAAACTTTATGCATACTTGATACTTTATGGACTAGGTGAAACAGGTATTTGGATCGAGTATTTATACGGAATTGGTCTAGGTGCACCTAGTACGAAAGAATCATGTCCAATTTTGACCTGAAAATTTTCGATAGCGTCTAGTGATGTAAAATATCTTATAAAATTGCTCTTTTTTTGCGTATTTCGAATCGCATAATTGAATTTTCTAATAAAGCCAGGAAAAAGAGTAACGTTAATATGTTTATCATTCACAATAGACTTTTGGAGACGGAACGAGTTTTACAGTGACTTAAAGGCCCAGAAGCCATGCCAAAACATATTTAAAAAAACGTGTTTGTCAATGACAGTCCTGTCATTAGTTTGAAGTTTTGCTGTGCGGAGTATATATACTAAGAAGTCTCTTACTTTCTTTGCGATTTTGGATTTTCTGATACCCTTACAACTTGCATTTTCCACGGACTTCGATACCTTCCACTCACGATTACTTTGGCCTGTGTAATACGGATACCGATTTAGCTTTTTGATTGGGATCTAAGACGTTATCGTACTTGTTGGAAAGCGTTATGGAGCCTTCTACGAGAATGCTATGTATAAACTGTAACATATGTATTAATACGCTTCAGCGTTATCGGGCCCTTTAGCTTGATAGCAGAGTCATCTCGCTAATTAGCACTTGGATATCTCCAGTAATAGTAAGTATAATAAATTACCTAATGATTTAGTAATTCAGTCAACATATGCTAATTTTATAAAAGGATTAATATTCAGAAGTGTATATCTTTTCAAGTTACATCAAAGTATGTCTAGTCAAATCAGTTTCCAGGCATCGGTCGGACAGTTATATATAGTTCGACATCAGACTAGAACTCTGATGAACTGACAGGGGGTATAAATAGGCAGTGTTAGTTACTTAGAGATTTTACCCATGTTTAGCTAAAGTGTCCTTTAAGACAGTTGTCTAAAATAAAAAATAAAACATGGAAAAATACAAATTAAATGTACAAAATATTTCAATTTATGCTTTATAATCTCATAATTGATTTATTTTTCAGATTACGGAAGAAGATTACATTTGTGAAGCGTGCTTTGATGTATCCATGCAGTCTATTAATGCTCAAATTCATGGAAACAATGAGTGTCATCCATCTGCTTGTTCATCTCGCCTTGGTCATACTCAAGTATGCCCCGTTTGTGGTCGATCATTGCTCAATTGTCAAAGTGACCATATTCACAAAGAAAACCCATCAAGCCTCACACTAAGAATGATAAACTTAAATCGAACTACTGTAGCAAATCGTCAGGTTTGTATTTAAATAATCAATCTCATTTTAAACTGCATGCAATTTTTTCATTAAACATCACATTCTAATCTATGACATTACTAGGTATGTCACTGCATTTACTACAAATATGTTGTTTTTTTGTTGACAGATATCACAATATGATTGTGTATGTCATGCCTGTTGGTTGAGGTTTAAAAGACAAGCTCTTTTAACTCAACAACAGGATGAAAGAAGAGGCTTAGAAGGTGATGAGACTCCTCACAGTCAAACAATTGAACAAGAAGTGGAACAACCTGTGTTTATGCAGTTCATGTTCCAGAATTACAACCTCCCCCGTTTCTTGCAAGTACAGATGAAAGGGATTCGTCTGTAGAATCAGTTGCAGCTCCAGAGGTTCATTCACAACAATCTCAAACCCAACAATCAAGTAACATTACATTATATAATTATAAACGTGCTCCCAATACAGCATCTCATTGTGCATTTTATGGGTGTGAAAATGAAAATCTGCATACTGACTCAGATGCACTGCGGGATACCATTTTGTGCAACTACAATTTTTATATTCCCAAACTGGAAAGAGTATGCACAGACCATTTACATGGAAACAGTTGCAGTTCCCTTTATACCAGTGAAAACAGAATGAGCGATTTCACTGTTGAACAAGTTGAGCATGTTTTTTCCTTTGTTTAAAAATACAAGCATTTTCTTGATTTTTCAAGCATAGAATCATAACAAGAAATTGACGACATTTTATTTGGATTTTGGATTGGCTTGTCAAAATTGAAATTCCTTAATTTGTTAGAAGACCTTCCCCGACTGTTGGGAAAACATAGGGGTGTATTAGGTCTAGCTGCTGTATTGATAAAAATGCGGACAGGTGATTCCGACTTAAGAATATCAACATTGCTAGAAGTTCCTCGCACTACACTAGAGAGGTTAATGCAAACAGCACGAGAGGTACTGCTACAGGATTTTGTTCCATGTAACCTTGGAATAAATCACTTGCCGAAAGAACAATTAATAGAACACAATCTCATCATTCCGAATGGAATTTACAATGAAAATAATAAACAATGTATTGTGATGTGTGATGGAACATACATTTTTTTAAATAAAAGTGGCAATTATATGTTTCAAAAAGACACATATTCTTTACATAGATATAGAAATCTGTTAAAGCAGTTAGGTTACATTTTAGATTGTTTTGGCCCATACAAAGCTACCACATCTGATGCTGAAATAATGTCTTCTTTGTGCAGCAACGAAAATTCCCCACTGAGACAATACTTTCAAGATAATGACATATTTATTTTAGACAGGGGATTCAGAGACAGCATCAGCTTATTGGAGCATTGTAATTATAAGGCATATATGCCAGAGTCACTTTTGGAAGGTGAACACCAGTTAACCACCACCCAAGCAAATAGAAGTAGATGTGTAACTATTTGCAGATGGGTGGTGGAGGTTGTAAATGGATATTTTAAAAGAGATTTTAGATTATTAAGGTTTGACAATTTTAATAAAACTGTACCAAATATGATGGCTTATTTCCAAATTGCTGCAAGTTTAATAAATAAGTTTGGTGTTCGTCTTCGCAATAGAGCTGATGCTGCTCAAATTCTTGGTATAATAAATGAAAGGATGCCCTTGGAAAATAACTTAATTAATATAGTTACAGAATATAATTTAAATCACCGGGCATCCTTTTTTCAAAGCATTACAGCCGATACTGCTAATATTGAGTTTCCCCATCTAGAATACAGTGAATTAATATTATTCGCCTTGGGAACGTACCAAATTCGCCAAGTGCGTTCATATTATGGTGAACACGTACGTTTCCATGGCGGATACAGGATAGAAGTTTGTCAAGGATACTAATAATATACCTGAGTTAGGCAGTGGGGAAAATTCACTTATAAAAGGAAAAATAAAGTCTAGACATATCTCAAGACGTCAGTACTATGTGTACATTTTGATTGCAAATGGTTTTGATGGACGAGAAGGCATTGTAGAGTATTGCTGTAACTACATTGTAGGACGTCGCACTGTAGGTAGTTGTGCGCATATTATGACAATGGTGTGGTATTTGGGTTGGGCCAGGCATGAAACCAATATTGAGTCTCCAGCTGCATTTTTAGATGAAGTGGTCATACGAGAAGACAATGAATAAATAAAAATATCAAATCGTGTTTTTTATTTAATTTCCCTGTTCTCGCCAAAAAAATGTAGAAAAGGAAGCTCTTTTTGTTATCTATTAATGTTGTGATGGCCCAGAGGTTACATCTCGCCTCTCATGCATGAGGCTGTGAGTTCAAATTCAGGCAAGTACCAATGTATGTCTTTCAATGCGTAGGTACGTATTTTCTAAGTTTATCTTACATTGGGGAAGGAAAACATCGTGAGGCAACCTGGACTCAATAATCATATAGTAGAAGTATAATAATCAAAATAAAGGTCTGAAACTGGCAACTCATCTTGACTCTGCGTGGTGATTAATGCTGATGCTTTCTCTGAATGAAAAGAGGTCTTTTCCCAGCAGTGGGGCCGTATTATTATGCTTATATTAGGCATTATTTACTCTCTTTCTCTGTTCATCAGACTTTTAGAGTCCGATGGCTGAAAGCGTCGCCTGTCAGGACGACTCCTTGAGTCAATCTGTTACGACGACAGATTTTGACCGATAATTAAATGAACTATACGTATATTGTTCTAATTTGCACAAAGTGTAGTGCGTGTAGTTTAAAAATCAACATAGGCGAGATATTACGAAAACGTAACCGCTATTTGTGACCGCGCACAGATGATAATATTACATTGAAGAGGGATTTATTTCTGAGTGATTGTAACTCTCTCGGCGATTAAGAAACAATAACAGAGTTCTTTTTGTATACCTGAAAGAAACAATTTGATTATAAACGTATAGTTTTTGAGGTTGCGACAGCTGTCAAATAAGGTTTGACAGCTGTCATAACCTGAAAAATTACCTTATTAATAGCATTTTTCCCTGGCCTCTAAATGAAAAGGTGATAAGTTATTATGTTATTATAAACAATAATTGATTTTATGCAACAGCACTTGTAGGTAGACGCGCCCTGTAAAACAAATCAAGTGACATGTCAATCAATGTATGGGAAGTGGGAATACTTCTTTACCCAGTACGACTCATCTCTACTTGAGTAGTGATTGTATCGAGGTCTCGAGTTGGTAAATCTATAACCCTAACTCTACATATTAGTTTTTATATTAATTTCATTATTTCAATTTGTGTGAAATAACTGTGAATATAGGAGTACTTATTCTTACTGTACGCTTATATTCACAGTCATTACCGTTAACCCAAATGCCTGCACCTATCTGGAAATCTTGTGTATCAAATCATACTGTGTTATAAATAACTACTAGTGCCATCTATTAGTGTGACTTATAAATTAACGTTCAACGCCATTTGTCATTGATAAAAGTTACAAATTGTTTAAATAATAAGGTTGATTTTTGTAATATTTGCAAATATTACATATAAGTATAATCATAATATTACGTTCAAATTTAAAGTACAAATAGGCATAGCTTTTGTGACAGAGTGTGGTTGTTGATTTTTAAATAAAACTTTTATATTGTTTTACTATAATATACATTGTGTCCGGTTACCGGTGTCGGAGCTTTTAATGCTATAAAATATAATCAATTTTATCGACAAATCATGTCTCAAATCTCATTTGTAGCCCTTATTGCCACATGTTGAATTGCACGTCTGATCATCTCCCGATATTGTCGCAACTCATTTCCAGCTTCGATTATTTTATTAATCAACTCTTCTCGTGAGTTTGGCACGTTCGCATAAACTCTTTGCTTCATAGTGCCCCATAGAAAAAAGTCTAAGGGAGTTAAATCCGGTGAACGCGGAGGCCAAGCCATCCTTCCACCGCGACCAATCCACGGCGAATAGCGCATTTAAATAATTTCGCAACTTTACTGCAAAATGTGCAGGTGCACCGTCAAGTTGGAGATTCATCCTTGCTCTGTGAGTTAATGGAAGCTCCATTAATTCTTCCAAAAATTGTGTTTGCAGAAACTCTAAAAATCTTGGGCCATTCATAGTTTCTGGTAAAATTATCGGCCCAATTAAAATATCGTCTTTTATTCCAGCCCAAACGTTCACTCGAATTTCATGTTGGAAAGTACTTTCTCTAACAGCATGAGGGTTGTTTTGAAGCCATAGATGCTCTTTACGGTGATTTGTATAACCCGATCTCGTGAAAGTGGCTTCGTCATTCCGCAAATTTTTAAAAAAAATCTGCATCTTGTCTTGTTCTTCTATTGATCCACGAACAAAAAACTGCCCTTATAGCATAATCAGGTTCGCGAATGTCTTGTACCCGCTGAAAATGGTAAGGATGCAAACCTTCCCTCTTTAAAACTCTCCGCACTGACCATGTTGTTAAATTAAGCATATTGCTTATTCGTCTTACACCGAGTCTGGGATCTTGTGTAATTAAACGTAATATCTCTTCTTCCTGTGTTCTGTGGTTGTGTGTGAGATTATCTCTATTTTATAATTATTTATTACAATACAATATTCCATAACTATTTCAGGCACAAAAGAACTTAAAAATTATATATAGCTTGATATAGTTAGAACACCAAAAATAGTGTAAACTTTTCGGGTAGTAGAGCTAGGCACAGCTGAATTTTGGTTGTTTAAAGATCTACCACCGAAAAGAGCTAGTATCACGGGTAAAGGACTATTCCCTCACTGAAAATCTGCGTAATTTTTCAGCATTGCTGCTGTGATTTATATGGTAATTGTTATGAATCGGAAATTATTTTTACCTGGTAATAAGGCAATCGATATTTATTCTCAGGGAATAGAATAGAAATAGATCCATTTTTAGTCAGTATAGATCATATGTAATACTTATTAAAAGTCATTTTTTTCTTCTAGCACTGGTTCGGAAACCTTTGTCCTGGGAAGAACCAGCAAAAATCCCAACGAGACTTTTTTTAAAAGCACAATTATTTTTCAAAAGAGAGCCATAAGAGCAATTTATAACCTAGGTCCGAAAATATCTGTTAGAGATAAATTTAAAGAAAAATATATTAACTTTGGCTTCCCAATTTATTTACGAAAACTTATTGTACACAAAAACCAAAAGAGTTTTATTAAAAATAGGGATGTCCATTCTAAAAATACTAGAAACATATTAATTAAGCAAAAATTGTTTAGTAAAGGTTATATTATACCTACTACTAAAGGGTTCATGATTGATAATACCCCTGAGAATGAGGTGGTCGCAACCATGGTGTTTCTTAATGTTTTCGTAACAGTTGTATAAAATACCTACATTATTATAATATAAGCTTTAAGAAAAA